AGAAAAGTATCTAAATTACGAACCAGGTGGAAAGGGAAAGATACCTTAATGGCTTGCCCATCATCTCAATAGTCAAAGAAACGCTGATTTGATTTTTGTTTACCGTCTAAGAGATCAGCCATACTAAGGCTGGCATTACCCAATGCTACCGCCGACAAAGCTTTTGCATAAAATTTTTCACATTCATTTTCCGCAAGCTGATTTTTACGTCATTACCGAAAAAAAATTCAGGAAACTTAATAAAATTTTATCTGTTTCACATCATATATAAAAAGTGGGCAATTTTGAATGCAGAAACTGTATAAGATTTAATGTATTTACTAAAAAATTACCTCAGGTGTCCACTTTTCGGGGATGTTTTCCAAAGAATCAGGAGAATCTATACTAAAGCACATCAAGATGACATCGGTGTCCGGATAAGATAAAGGCCGCAATCGATCATAATCTTCTTGACCTGCCGTATCCCACAGTGCCAATTCCACCTGGAGTAAAACAACATTATAAGCTAATAGCATATACAAACGAGGTAAATTAGAAAAAAAGTAAAGGAATATTTTTGACTATTTTTTAAATCTAGTCTTCAAGAATTCGAAAAGGCGTAGATTAAGTTTTGTTATTCAAGAGAACCAAATTTATATTCCTTTGAAGTACTTACGCAAATAAAAACTTGATTAAAATTTGGTTCGAATCTTTTCGGCAGGTATGGCGACCAAAAAATGGACAACGCATTTTTTATGGTCTGACATGAATATGTCTGGAGGCCATGGGAAACTGGGTAAAATTACCTAGTTAAAACAGCAAAGTCATATCTCTGCGATAAGTGCAACGATGATGAGACCTCTGCCGCATATTTATTTCGAAGAACTCCTTTCTTTCTGAAATTATTAATATCTTTAAGGTACTAAACAATGAACTCGACTTAACCAAACCCTAATAAGTCAGCATTTGCAAGTTTCTTGTTATTTCTTTATACGGTAATCGTTGTGACTAAAATCGAGTCGAGTATGCAGATCAATTTTTCGCTGTCCAGGCCGATCTTAATCCCGGTGCTCGGGTATGTTCAAGAGTCGTGGTTGATCGCTGTACAAGCGGCTGAAACGAGCTTCCTGGGGAGAAACAATAGCTCAAATCTCTCGATTTTGCGCCATTTCGGTAACAGAATTGAGTCTTTCTCAATACAGAATTGAGGGAATCAGGGAAAATGGATATTCAAAAGGGGGGCCTACGGAGGAGTGCACTGATTTATTAACAGTGAAGTTCGTTGTACAAAAAGGATGGTTTAAACTCAACAACAACTGCTGACTTAACACGACGGTTAACCAGCTCCATTCAGTACAAGTATTTTTAAACTGACTTATAACTGTGTAGCGCCACAGTACACATTGTACAGTATCGAACGCTGACATATGGGATCAATCTGTAGGAAGAAAATTCACATTCAGAAGACATCATTCCAAACTAGCAACAGATCATGAAATCGTTTTTTCAAAGATTACAAAGCCATAAAACACTACTTGCATCTTCATTATTAGATTTCACAAATGGTGAATAAACAAGTTCAGCAGACATAATTTCAGATGGAGTGACACATCAACTTAGGTAGTCCACCAGGGGAAAAATTGACAGGATGTCATTTATCGCCGCCTGCACGATAAAAGGGTCAATTTCCTCGACACTCCCTGACCCCCGATCATATTTCCGGTCACATCCGTGTGTAGCTTGACTACATGTTGTATCCTGTTCTCTTTCGCTTCACAGCTATATTGCCTTCAGGCAAAAAAATCCGAGGTAGCACCGGGTCTTCATTTCTCATGCCAAATATTCATATCTTGCGTTTGGATGCTTTTACCTTATTGGGGTTATCCTTATTGCCCTTGTGAAAGGGTTTTGGAAAAAAATTCTACTTGGTACAACCACGCACATTAGTGTTTTCGCGTTTAAAGAGTTCATTTGCTGCGCGGATGTCGTCAGCGGTATACAGCTGTGCCATTCAGCATTCAGCGCCGCAAAACGGTCTGCATATTTTCGTTTCAATGATAATCGTACTCAATACCAAAACTACCGTAGCAAACAATTTCCTCAAACACGTTTCTTCAAAAATCTGTTTCTCAGAATCGCAGTCTTGATTTGCGGTGGATCAGTATTGCAGGAAATCCGAAGATTTTACGTACTGCAAACCACTAATCTGTTCCGTTTCGTCGTAATACAGATGTCCGGACGGCTGAATAAAAAAGATTTGTGACACCTGCAGGCATAAAGCTGTTCGTAAAATTTATAACAGGCAAAGCTCGCTCCTGCAGCAAAGCTCATGTTTACTGGCGCAAGTGGAACTTCATTCTGTATATCTTAAGAATGCACCGTTTAATTTCTTTTTCTGAACAGCGGCTCTTGAGGCTGTTTGAAATACGACATCGTGAGTAAATTTATTTTTGATGGAAGAAAAAGATTCACTTGAAGATGCGAGCTTCTAAAAAGTAGTCGGTGAGAGATAATTTGTCTGCAAACCACTGCCTGTGTACTTAGGATATTTAGTACTTATACAAACAGCTTCTTAACGGTTTGAAACAAAGAACGCACTGATATATTAATTATCACGTATAGGACAGAGAAACAGACAGAA